ACAGTACATTTACTCAGGGATATTAGAAGAATGAAAAGGGTTATATGAGCTATAATTGACAGGCATTGTAAACCTCGCATGGAAAACGCAAGAATTCGTCCTGTCATTTATTATAACAACCCTTGTACATCTTCCCTCATTATGAGAAATATCATAGACAGAATAACATCTCTGCCTCCGCTAACAACCTGAGGTGTACCAATGTGGTGAATCAATACAAATGCAGCTCTGGAGACTGTGCGCTCCGAAATATGCGCTACATTGGACATACCACGAATGCATTGAATAGACGTCTTACACTTCATTTGCAAAAGGTAATGAAGTGTAAGAATGCCTCCATTGAATGGCAACACCATTCTCAACACCACAACACCATTCTCAATACCACAACACCATCCTGAATCGCCAAGACATAGTGAAAGATATAATAATAACCGACTCGGCCACGATGGCACAAAAGTCGACCAACCCGAAACTCCACTGAGAGCACTGGGAGGTTCTGGAGCCCCCGAACCGGAGTCCAACCGGGGTTTTACAGTCGATCCGACCACACTCTGCCCTACGGTAAAGGCGTTTACACTCCAGAACATCTCAGTGCTCTCAGCAGAGTTCTGGGTGTTGTACCATCATGGTAAAGTGTCTGGGAATCACCAGAACGTGAGTTCAAGTCACTCCATTGCCTCAAAATGATTTTCATTGATATATCACGCCAATGTGATTTCCTTGCGATCTGAATGGGTCGTAAGAGTGCCACTTGCCTATCACACTCACCTATCCCTCACCCCCCCCCATGTTACAAGTGTAAAGGTTAAGTGAGGATAGTCCCGCGTGTTTGTCCTCCAACCTCAGACGGCCAGAGAAGCAGACACAGACAGACAAATAGGCAAACATACTCTTTTATGTACATCGATTGGGTCCGAGTGGTTTCTTTTTTTTTTCAGGGAAGTCACTCAGGGCTCGCTGTCTTAAAATATCAGGTCCCCGGATGGTACTTCAAATTTGTATTAATAATGTCTGCCTTCGGCTTCTGCGAAGAGGTTCATGAATGTGGTAATCACGGGTGGAATTAGCGAGCCTTTGTGGATTCCCTTTGTCGGGGATTTATATCGTCTCCTATCTCTTAGAGTCGCTATTTAGAGAGGCTTCTTGTTGTTGACAAGATTATATAGGGCGTGTGCAGTTAAGCTGGTTTAAAAGGGGAAATTTGGTGCAAAGCTGAAGACTGTGATTTCAACTGGTTGTAATATCTTCGTAGGTCCGATTTGTAAGCGTCAGTGATGTGTATTTATAGTCAAGCGCTGGTCTGATAATGATCGTAGAGACGCAGCTTAATATGTGGGTGGTGGCGTGTTGTAATCTATAAAAGCTTGTTAGCTTGCTTTGGCCGTCCCTGGGGTTTTCTTTTTATTTACATGTTTAGTGGAGTCCAGTATTCCGTAGGCTGGTAGTATCTTGCTGGTGATCTTGATGACTACGAGTTATCCTCTGAACCGGATTCCTTCTTTCTGTGTCGTGTAGGCAGCCTCTGGCGGTGCTGGCTCGGGGTGTGTCAGCGCTGCTGGCCTACGTGTGTAGTGGCAGTAGGAAGTAGCTGGAGTCCTTCTCCAATGATTATCTCATAGATACATGGCGTGACTGTGATCCCCTTGTGTATAGGAAGTTGTTTACACTGATGTTGAAGAGCGCTGGGCTCAGGCCGGAGCGTTGTGAATCACCTGATCTGACCACCTGCTGAGTGAAAGACCTCAAGGCGTCGTACTGTTGCAGAACCTTAAACTGGTTTGTGGTTTTCTTATTGGTTATTTAGACGGGGGCATATAAAAGTTGTCATTTCTTTTGAGTAATTTTGTTTATCTTTGAGTAGTGCGACTAAGGCATTAATTCGAGGAGATGTTTTTGCTGTTATGCCTGTCTGTGGCATGCTTGTCCTCCCCCTCCCCCTCTCTCTCTCTCTCTCTCCTCCTCTCTCCCCCTCTCTCACTCCCTCTCTCTCTCTCTGTCTCTCTCTTTCTCTCTCTGCCTCTCTCTGTCTCTCTCTCTCTGTCTCTCTCTCTCCCTCCCTCTCTCTCTCTCCCTCCCTCTCTCTCTCTCCCTCTCTCCCCCTCACCCTACCAGTTGCAGCAGCCCCACCAAGTGCGGGCCAGCCAGGGACCAGCTCCCAGGAGCAGGAAGAAAGGCCCGCGAGAGCACCAGAGTCCACCTGCCACTTGCCAATTGATGCATCGTGTGTCCAGGCGAGCGATAACGCCCCGCGATTACCGTGCTCGGCAGTACTCCCCTGATCGTCATCGCCCGGTAAATTGGGTGTTAGGAGTGGCACACTACCGGCCATTACCGGTGTGCGACCCGGGTGCTCGGATTGTGATACACGCTAATGTGGTGCTGGTATCTCACTATCTTCCTTCCTCTCTCACTCTCTCTCTCTCTTTCCCTTCTTCACTATCTTCCTCCTGTACTTCATTAGTTATCGTCCTCCTTCCCTACCATCTTCCCCTCCTCACTATCTTCCTCTCTTTTCCCCCCCCCCGGCCCCTCCCTTCAAAATCTCCTCCTCGTCTCCCTCACGATTCCCATCCAACCCTCCATCTCTCCCTCTCTACATCTCACCATCCATCTCGCTTGTTTTTCTCTTTTTCCCCTGTTGTCATCACCTCAAGTGTGTATTATTAAGCAATCATGAAATCCGGGAATTAACTTTAGTAATTAGTTTTACCACGACTTAAGGAATTTCAACTCATCCTCCTGATAAAGGGCTATTTTCTGGAACTATGCGGACGATCCTTCAAAAATTCACATATATATATATATATATATATATATATATATATATATATATATATATATATATATATGTCGTACCTAGTAGCCAGAACTCACTTCTCAGCCTACTATGCAAGGCCCGATTTGCCTAATAAGCCAAGTTTTCATGAATTAATTGTTTTTCGACTACCTAACCTACCTAACCTAACCTAACCTAACTTTTTCGGCTACCTAACGTAACCTAACCTATAAAGATAGGTTAGGTTAGGTTAGGTAGGGTTGGTTAGGTTCGGTCATATATCTACATTAATTTTAACTCAAAAAAAAATATTGACCTCATACATAATGAAATGGGTAGCTTTATCATTTCATAAGAAAAAACGTAGAGAAAATATATTAATTCAGGAAAACTTGGCTTATTAGGCAAATCGGGCCTTGCATAGTAGGCCGAGTACGACGTTCTGGCTACTAGGTACGACATATATATATATATATATATATATATATATATATATATATATATATATATATATATATATATATATATGTATATATATCTACCTCAGATAGCGTGTATCAGACCTAGGATAGCTAGGTTTCAATAGCAACATAAATACAAAACTTTTGTATTACTGAATTTGGACAAACCAAAGTGAACTTGCTAGTGGTGCCTCACCTCCATACTTGTACGAGCGACCACCTCCTTACAACAAGTACTTTCAGTCTAGGAGGACGGGCTCGGGGACATTATTACCACTAAAACAAGTTCTAAGAAGGAAGGGGGTGATGATTAGCAGGGAAAAGCGCCAAGCCATTTCGACTATATAGCACATGGAAGGGATCAGGATAAGGATTTGGGATGGGACGGGGGGAAAGGAATGGTGCCCAACCACTTGGACGGTCGGGGGATTGAACGCCGACCTGCATGAAGCGAGACCGTCGCTCTACCATCCAGCCCAAGTGGTTGGACTTCTAGAGAGATGAAAAGGAAATCGAGGAAGGTCATTCAGTTTTAAAAGGTCAGGAGGAATGTTTTGATAACATCAGTATTAGCCATGAGAAGGATTCGAACCCGTACACTTAGCGTTCCCAAGCACACATGCCCTAGATCACCACACTTCGACATGGTCAAAAGCATTATAACCTGGGATTCAACTGAATCCTCTACGGGGGGGGGGGGGGTCCAGAGGCTTCCACTGAAGTCTAATCAAGGGTTTCATGCACTATGGTCCAGGAGTTCCGCCTCCAACACTTCTCTTCAAATGCACAAAAATCACAGGTGACGTGTGGCTGCTGGACGCCCAGCCAGAGTACATGGGCGGCGCATGGTGGGAAACCTCTCACTGGGCTCCAGTGGAAGCCTCAGGAACCCCCTAGAGGACTCACTTGAATCCCAGGTTACAATGCTTTTGACCATGTGGTGGTGTGGTGGTCTAGGACATGTGTGCTTGGGAACACCAAGTGTGCGGGTTCGAATCCGCACCGATTTTATCATTGATACATCACGTTAATACCATTTCATTGTGCAGAAACGTTTTGTTTCAACATCTGTGGTTAAATGTACCCAGAGGTTCGAGTCCTGATCACGGCTCCTACTGATTTTCCCATTGATTCTTAAATGTGATATCTCTGTGCATTTATGGTTAGGAAATAAGACATTATTAACACCATTTTCTTCCCTAATCCTTGCTTTAGCACCAACAATATGTGTCTAGTGACTAGTGGGGAACCGGTCGGCCGAGCGGACAGCACACTGGACTTGTGATCCTGTGGTCCTGGGTTTGATCCCGGGCACCGGCGAGAAACAATGGGCAGAGTTTCTTTCACCCTATGCCCCTGTTACCTAGCAGTAAAATAGGTACCTGGGTGTTAGTCAGCTGTCACGGGCTGCTTCCTGGGGGTGGAGGCCTGGTCGAGGACCGGGCCGCGGGGACACTAAAAGCCCCGAAATCATCTCAAGATAACCTCAAGATAACCATAGACATGCACATATAGTCTGCTGCATTGTTCTGCTCCATGTGTGAAACTGTCGGAGATGCAGCTTCTTGCTTTCATCTGAGTGTCCTTGAAGCATCCCAAATTGGGCTGGAAATGAGCAGTTTCCCGAGTGTGTTGTCGTCAGGGCGGCCCAAGATAAGCTTCCTGGATTTCTCTGTCACTTTCCCCGGGTGCCTCTGACCTGCCAGTTTCTACCTTGATGCTCTGGTAAGAGGGCAGAGTCAGCTTATCTTGGTCTGTAGTCAAGCGTTCTTCGTCAGGCGAGACTTTAGGAAAATGTTTTGTTGCGTGGTTTCCTGCTCTCTGTGGCTGTCTTTGGCGGTTTCCTGCTCTCTGTGGCTGTCTCTGGCGGTTTCCTGCTCTCTGTGGCTGTCTCTGGCGGTTTCCTGCTCTCTGTGGCTGTCTCTGGCGGTTTCCTGCTCTCTGTGGCTGTCTTTGGCGGTTTCCTGCTCTCTGTGGCTGTCTCTGGCGGTCTCCTGCTCTCTGTGGCTGTCTCTGGCGGTCTCCTGCTCTCTGTGGCTGTCTCTGGCGGTCTCCTGCTCTCTGTGGCTGTCTCTGGCGGTTTCCTGCTCTCTGTGGCTGTCTTTGGCGGTTTCCTGCTCTCTGTGGCTGTCTTTGGCGGTTTCCTGCTCTCTGTGGCTGTCTCTGGCGGTTTCCTGCTCTCTGTGGCTGTCTCTGGCGGTTTCCTGCTCTCTGTGGCTGTCTTTGGCGGTCTCCTGCTCTCTGTGGCTGTCTCTGGCGGTCTCCTGCTCTCTGTGGCTGTCTCTGGCGGTCTCCTGCTCTCTGTGGCTGTCTCTGGCGGTCTCCTGCTCTCTGTGGCTGTCTTTGGCGGTCTCCTGCTCTCTGTGGCTGTCTCTGGCGGTCTCCTGCTCTCTGTGGCTGTCTCTGGCGGTCTTCTGCTCTCTGTGGCTGTCTCTGGCGGTCTCCTGCTCTCTGTGGCTGTCTATGGCGGTCTCCTGCTCTCTGTGGCTGTCTCTGGCGGTCTCCTGCTCTCTGTGGTTGGTTTGGCAGCCACAGAGAGCCTCTGTAGCTGCCAGAGACCTGTCTGCCATTATGTAGAGCAAGCGGCGGCCAAGACTATAGACAGCAGCACTCGACAGCTCCAGCTTGTAACCCAGAGTTAATAATTTACCTCCGAACCTCTCGTCTGACTGTGCTCATTCGTTTATATACACACATATGTCCAGGCAAATAAACACACACATAGACACACACACACACATACACACACAGACATGTATGCGCGTGTAAGTGTTGTAAGCTCAGTGTTGTACTAAGACCGTACAAGACATGATGGACTATGTTACCCAAAAGTGTCAGAAGGCAGTAAACAGGTTTGTCTCGACCCAAAAGGAAAAAAATGAGAAACAAAAGAAGAATCCTTTGTTTAATACGTCATATATGGAAGCAAAGTAAATAAACAAAAGGGCGTGGAGGAACTTCCGAATTAAGAGAGCACCAGAAAGCAGAGAGAGAAACCAGAGAGCCAGGAATGAGTATGTGTGTGAGAAGAGAAGCTGAGAGACAGTATAAAAATGATATAGCAAATAAAGCCAAGACCGAACCAAAACTGCTGCACAGCCATATCAGGAGGAAAACAACAGTGAAGGAACAGGTGAAGAAACTTAGACCGGGTGAGGACAGGTACATAGAGAAAGACAAAGAGGTGTGTGAAGAACTCAACAAGAGATTCCAGGAGGTCTTCACAATAGAACAAGGTGAAGTCCCTGCGCTAGGAAAGGTGGCAGTAAACCAGGCGGCCTTGGAAAGATTCGACATTATAAGAGATGAGGTTAAGAGGCATCTGTTGGATCTGGACGAGAGAAAGGCTTATGGTCCGGACAGAATCTCACCATGGGTATTGAAAGAGTGTGCAGGAGCACTTTGCTTGCCACTCTCAATGGTGTATAGTAGATCACTGGAGACGGGAGACTTACCAGAAATATAGAAGACGGTTAATGTAGTACCAATATACAAAAATGGTGACAGACAAGAGGCACTGAACTACAGGCCAGTGTCCTTAACTTGTATACCATGCAAGGTGATGGAGAAGATCGTGAGAAAATCCCTGGTAACACATCTGGAGAGAAGGGACTTCGTGACAACCCATCAACATGGGTTCAGGGAGGGTAAATCTTGTCTCACTGGTTTAATAGAATTCTACGATCAGGTGACAAAGATTAAGCAAAAAGAGAAGGATGGACAGACTGCATTTTCTTGGACTGTCGGAAAGCCTTTGACACAGTACCCAATAAGAGGCTGGTGTATAAGCTGGAGAGACAGGCAGGAGTAACTGGTAGGGCGCTCCAGTGGATAAGGGAGTACCTAAGCAATAGGAAGCAGAGAGATACAGTGAGGGGTGAGACCTCAGATTGGCGTGAAGTCCCACAGGGCTCTGTACTCGGTCCTATCCTGTTTCTGATATACGTAAATGATCTTCCAGAGGGTATAGACTCATTCCTCACAATGTTTACTGATGATGCCAAAATTATGATTAGAATTTAAGACAGAGGAGGACAGTATGAGGCTTCAAAAAGACCTAGACAAATCGAAGGAATGATCCAACAAATGGTTGTTAGAGTTTAACCCGAACAAATGTAATGAAGATAAGTGTAGGGAGCAGGAGGCCAGATACAAGGCACCATTTGGGAGATGAAATTTTTCTAGAATCAGAGAGAAAGACCTTGGTGTTGATATCACCCGAGACCTGTCCCCCGAAACTCATATCAAGAGGATAACATCAGCGGCGTATGAGAGGTTGGCTAACATAAGAACGGCCTTTTGAAACTTTTGAAACTTATACATAACACTGTATACCACGTATGTCAGACTAATCCTGGAGTATGCAGCTCCAGCATGGAGTCCATATCTCGTCAAGCATAAGACTAACTTGGAGAAGGTTCATAGGCTTGCCACCAGACTAGTGACCGAACTGAGAGGTACGAGCTATGAGGAGAGACTACGGGAATTAAACCTCATGTCGCTGGAAAGACAGAAGAGTTAGGGGGAGACATGATCACCACATACAAGATTATCATGAGAATTGATATGGTAGATAAAGACAGTTAAACAGAAAGGGCATACGCACTAGGGGACACATATGTGGAAACTGAGTGCCCAAATGAGCCATAGAGACGTTAGAATGTTTCAGTGTCAGAGTAATTGACAAATGGAATGCATTAGGCAGTGATGTGGTGGAGGCTGACTCCATACACAGTTTCAAGTGTTGATATGATAGAACCAAGTAGGCTCAGGAACCTGTACACCAGTTGAATGATAGTTGAGAGGCGGGCCTGAAGAGCTAGAGCTCAACCCCCGCAAGCACAATTAGGTGAGTACATACACACACACACACACACACACACACACACACACACACACACACACACACACACACACACACGTAGGACTCCCACCTCGGGAGGTCGCTGGCATCCTGGACAACGACCATAATCCTGTCATTATGAAGCATTCACACATGCACTAAACTAATATTTGCTTCGGTGTACATACTGAGGTTCCTTAAGGTTAATTCACATCAAAATAATATGTTTAATTCAGGGGCTCACAGTGAGCTGTGATAATGCCGGGGCTCACAGTGTATGTATAGTGCTGGTCCTGGTAACACAGGCAGTTTCATGTACAAAACCGCACTAAGGAAGGCATTAGTTATAGAGGTCTGTAGTGAGGGCAACGTGTCTTTGGCTGTCCCCAGGAGGATTTCGAGGGGATCGACAACAAACAGGTTGTGGATGTCTTAAAAGACACCAAGGAGGATGAAGACATCCTCCAACAAGAATCGTCAGAGAGGTGGTCCTCGAGGTCGCTGACACAATCAAGTGATCTTTGCACTGTGAAGGGAGAGCTGGTGGCGGAAGTATGACTGGAAGTAGAGTAATAACTCAAGAAGTGAGGCTCTTGAAGGAGGTACTGCTGGCCGTAGGGCGGCGTCGGGGGCTCGGAGTGGAAGGTGTTGAGGACGGCTTGCTGTGTGGGCATCGTCTTGCAGAAGGACCTCTCAAGCGACTGCTGGAGGGAGTTCTGGAATGAACATTCGAGTGAGCTCTGAAGAGAAGAGATGTCATCATCTCCTTCATCCTAGGGAGCCGGTCGGCCGAGCGGACAGCACGCTGGACTTGTGATCCTGTGGTCCTGGGTTCGATCCCAGGCGCCAGCGAGAAACAATGGGAAGAGTTTTTTCACCCTATGCCCCTGTTACCTAGCAGTAAAATAGGTACCTGGGTGTTAGTCAGCTGTCACGGGCTGCTTCCTGGGGGTGGAGGCCTGGTCGAGGACCGGGCCGCGGGGACACTAAAACCCCCGAAATCATCTCAAGATAACCTCAAGATAATCTCAAGAATCCTCCAGGGCGTGAGACAGAGCCCTGATGTAGTTCACAGCGAGGCGTCGAGTCGTGATCTTGGTCACGGACGACGAGGCTGCTTCAACCCCTACTACGTCAGGAAGAACCTTGCGAAGTGACTCGAATGCGTTGTTTATTTCCTTCATACGATGGCCGTCTTCCTGCGGTACTTTGACAGAGGCGCGGGTCTCGCCTTGGGCCTCACCGTCCTCTTGGGCACCTCCTGACGAACCCTCTCCTGCTGCAGCCTCTTGACGATGGTCCTTGGACGCAGGCCATACTTCTCCTCGGAGCTGGAGTTGGTGGTGGAGGAGCGACGAGGCCTCCATCTCCGCCCTCTGGTGGTGGCCGAGCCGCGCCCTCACCGCCCAGCGCCGCCACCCTCGTCAGATCACTACATACACCTGCATTAATGTCCCCATCACCAAATTTTCCTTTCAGGAATATTTTAATGAAATTCCTTTTACAATTCATATATTTTCTTAACACTGCCAAGTTAAATTGTTCTTACACTCACAAGTAAATACATTTAAATATACACTCACTACAAGTATACACACTGAAATATACACACTCAAGTACACACACACTACAAGTAAGCAGCCAATTAACTGGCGTCCTGCGAAATATTTAGATATTTGTGTCATTACAATCTCTTAGACGACAGAAAAATAGTGCTTTTTGCGTGCGTCGCCTCCACCAGGGCGAGTGCGCGTGCGCCGCCTCCACCAGGGCGAGTGTGCGTGCGCCGCCCCCACCAGGGCGAGTGTGCGTGCGCCGCCCCCACCAGGGCGAGTGTGCGTGCGTCGCCTCCACCAGGGCGAGTGTGCGTGCGTCGCCTCCACCAGGGCGAGTATGAGTGCGTCGCCCCCACCAGGGTGAGTGTGCGTGCGTCGCCTCCACCAGGGCGAGTATGCGTGCGTCGCCTCCCCCAGAGCCAGGAATGCGTGCGTCGCCTCCCCCAGAGCCAGGTATGCGTGCGTCGCCTCCCCCAGAGCCAGGTATGCGTGGGACACCTCCCCCAGAGCCAGAAATGCGTGCGTCGCCTCCCCCAGAGTCAGGTATGCGTGCGTCGCCTCCCCCAGAGCCAGGAATGCGTGCGTCACCTCCCCCAGAGCCAGGAATGCGTGCGTCGCCTCCCCCAGAGCCAGGTATGCGTGCGTCGCCTCCCCCAGAGCCAGGTATGCGTGCGTCGCCTCCTCCAGAGCCAGGAATGCGTGCGTCGCCTCCCCCAGAGCCAGGAATGCGTGCGTAGCCTCCCCCAGAGCCAGGTATGCGTGCGTCGCCTCCCCCAGAGCCAGGTATGCGTGCGTCGCCTCCCCCAGAGCCAGGTATGCGTGCGTCGCCTCCTCCAGAGCCAGGAATGCGTGCGTCGCCTCCCCCAGAGCCAGGAATGCGTGCGTCGCCTCCCCCAGAGCCAGGAATGCGTGCGTCGCCTCCCCCAGAGCCAGGAATGCGTGCGTCGCCTCCCCCAGAGCCAGGAATGCGTGCGTCGCCTCCCCCAGAGCCAGGTATGCGTGCGTCGCCTCCACCAGAGCCAGGAATGCGTGCGTCGCCTCCCCCAGAGCCAGGAATGCGTGCGTCGCCTCCCCCAGAGCCAGGTATGCGTGCGTCGCCTCCCCCAGAGCCAGGTATGCGTGCGTCGCCTCCCCCAGAGCCAGGAATGCGTGCGTCGCCTCCCCCAGAGCCAGGAATGCATGCGTCGTCTCCCCCAGAGCCAGGTATGCGTGCGTCGCCTCCACCAGAGCCAGGAATGCGTGCGTCGCCTCCCCCAGAGTCAGGAATGCGTGCGTCGCCTCCCCCAGAGCCAGGAATGCGTGCGTCGCCTCCACCAGAGGCAGGTATGCGTGCGTCGCCTCCACCAGAGCCAGGAATGCGTGCGTCGCCTCCCCCAGAGCCAGGAATGCGTGCGTCGCCTCCCCCAGAGCCAGGTATGCGTGCGTCGCCTCCCCCAGAGCCAGGAATGCGTGCGTCGACTTACCCTTATAAGCAAAAATTATTTCCAAGCTAAGCAGTTTAATACCCCAAATTGGTTTGGTGTTGGGATTACGACTCACACCCGCAGGGTAATAAAGACCGATACAACAGTTTACTGAAAACCCTACAAGTATATACTAGTAGGAACATAGTTTATTAAAGTATATTCCCAAGGATATGACCACTGAGAGGTGGAGTATACCTCTCAGTATACTGATCCCTAAGTACAATATGAATGCAATTTATAAAAAATAAATACAATAGCCACTGGAAACTGTATGTTATTGTCGCTTTAGAAGATATATACAAAATATACATAACATCGGCGTCTAAGCTGTTGAAATAATATTAGTGAGCTGGAGGAGCGGTGCAGCAGCACGTCTGACCCCAATGGCTGCAAGATGTCCACTGATGCCCAATTCACCTGTTGCTCCGCCACACGTGCTCCCCCCCCCCCTGACGTCACTCTTTGGCATGATGAAATTTTCGCGACCAGATATATGCGCACATTTTTATTCCATTTACAGTATCCCATTAATTCAGAGCTCCAATCTTCCGATAATTATGACACGTATTTATTTTATGTTATATCAAAATATTAAGTAATGGATATATAATTATTTATAAGAAAACGCGATTTGGTGAATTTTGAGTGTCCGGCGCGCAAGGCAGTCTGATGTGCGCGTCAGTACCGCTTGGTGGCTGGTCGGGGCGAGGTGGTGCCGGTGCTGCTCCTGACCTCGCCCCCAGACCAGTCCCTATTTTCATTTAATAGTAAACATTATAACAAAACTATCATAACTTTTTAAATTACCATATCTGACTCTTAAACAATATCATATATATTTTGTACAAACCCAAATATATATACCGAAGCAAAAATCCCATAAATGATAAGACAGTAAAATGAACAGATATTTTTTGTCATTACAATTCCAACCTCCTAAAATGAGAGTACAAGTTCAAGTATGTTTATAGAGACAAGAAAAAAAATATATCTCAAAGGCTTAGGCAAATGAGAGTACTTATAGTAACGACGTTGTCAATGGTTATCTTCTTGAGGTTATCTTGAGATGATTTCGGGGCTTTTTAGTGTCCCCGCGGCCCGGTCCTCGACCAGGCCTCCACCCCCAGGAAGCAGCCCGTGACAGCTGACTAACACCCAGGTACCTATTTTACCGCTAGGTAACAGGGGCATAGGGTGAAAGAAACTCTGCCCATTGTTTCTCGCCGGCGCCTGGGATCGGACCCAGGACCACAGGATCACAAGTCCAGCGTGCTGTCCGCTCGGCTGACAGGCTCCCCAATAGTACAAATATAGACGTGATAGATCAATAGACAATAGACTTTTTGTATTATTGAATTTGGAAACAAAGCGGAAAATTTGTCTATGTTGCTAGTGTAACCTAACCAAACCTAAACATCCTAGGCCTAACACAAGCTGTCTGAGGCCTAATATATTACACATATGAGCTATACTAGGCCTAAGAATATTATATTTGTTTAACTTAACCTTTTCCGGACTCTAAAATGATTAGCACTAAATTATATTCTCTATTTGTCCATTACGTCGATATTTGAACGATCGTGGGCACAGTTTCAGCAAGTGCCACTTCAACGGGGGAATGAGTTGCTTTACAACCACCCACATTACCAATACACAAAATAATATCACAAATACTAATACTATATTATTCCGCGGTTTTTGAAATGGGTTTTGAAATGGAAACATGACAGCCGACAAGGAAGGCCTCGGACACTCAACGGACACTGCTGGTCCTGTCTGAGTGCCTGAGTGGACACTGCTGGTCCTGTCTGAGTGCCTGAGTGGACACAGCTGGTCCTCCCTGAGTGCCTGAGTGGACACTGCTGGTCCTCCCTGAGTGCCTGGGACACTGCTGGTCCTGCCTGAGTGCCTGGGACACTGCTGGTCCTCCCTGAGTGCCTGGGACACTGCTGGTCCTGTCTGAGTGCCTGGGACACTGCTGGTCCTCCCTGAGTGCCTGGGACACTGCTGGTCCTCCCTGAGTGCCTGAGTGGACACTGCTGGTCCTCCCTGAGTGCCTGAGTGGACACTGCTAGACCACTAACGTCAACAAAATGTAAATGTAAGGTCACATAAAGGATCATTTTACAGCTGAAATTACTGGTATAATTGAGTAAGCATCTGCGTCCCTTATAAAGACAAGAGCGCAACTTTAGTCTAAGGTCGGCCACGTAGAGCTCAGCTCAAGCTCTATCCTCTAATTGATCTACGAAGCTTCGTAACAGGCGCGTAACTTATCCCCCTAATTTGAAAACATTTGACGCTCTGTCATCCTCTGGCAATCAAAATATCGATGCATCATTAGGGACAGGTCCTAATTTCTTATTGCATCGTAAACTACACTTTAGATTACTTAAAAAACAAAACAGAAAAACGATTCATTTAAATTTATCGATTGCAGTCTATGTGTTTCATGTTAACTTGGGTGATTGAGACGTACGATAATGTGTTGCTTTGCACGCGCGAGCGCGCACACACACACACACACACGCACACACACACACACACACACACACACACACACACACACACACACACACGCACACGCACACGCACACGCACACAGAGGACACCTAGGACATCCATTACTAACACTAGTGTCAGTGTCACTAGACACTAACTGACACTACACTGGACACTAACTGACACTGGAGTTAGTGTCACTAGACACTAACTCCTGTAACAGTTACCGGAGTGTTACTGGACACTTCAGTGCTCAGAAACACCAATAACATGGCCAGGAAGGTGTTCGTATCGCTGCATTATATTGATCGGTTTTATATTACAAGTTACAGAAACGGAGGATTCGAGTAGCCAGGCTTATGTTGCGAAATTCCTTCCATCAGTTTTTTAACCTTAATACTGGAAAAAAATAATAAAGTATATATATATATATATATATATATATATATATATATATATATATATATATATATATATATATATATATATATATATATATATATGTCGTACCTAGTAGCCAGAACGCACTTCTGAGCCTACTTTGCAAGGCCCGATTTGCCTAATAAGCCAAGTTTTCCTGAATTAATATATTTTCTCAATTTTTTTTCTTATGAAATGATAAAGCTACCCATTTCATTATGTTTGAGGTCAATTTTTTTTTATTGGCGTTAAAATTAACGTAGATATATGACCGAACCTAACCAACCCTACCTAACCTAACCTAACCTATCTTTATAGGTTAGGTTAGGTTAGGTAGCAGAAAAAGTTAGGTTAGGTTAGGTAGGTTAGGTAGTCGAAAACAATTAATTCATGAAAACTTGGCTTATTAGGCAAATCGGGCCTTGCATAGTAGGCTGAGAAGTGCATTCTGGCTACTAGGTACGACATATATATATATATATATATATATATATATATATATATATATATATATATATATATATATATATATATATATACTGTACATACCTTTTCCCACCAGCTGGTGTTTCCATATTGGGTGTCTGAATATTGGGTGTCTGAATATTGGGGTTCCAAATATTGGGGGTCTGTATACCGAGGCCTGATTACTGAGGGTATTCAAGCCCATCGAGTCCCTCTGGGTGCTGACCAGACCCATCGAGTCCCTCTGGGTGCTGACCAGACCCATCGAGTCCCTCTGGGTGCTGACCAGACCCATCGAGTCCCTCTGGGTGCTGACCAGACCCATCGAGTCCCTCTGGGTGCTGACCAGACCCATCGAGTCCCCCTGGGTGCTGACCAGACCCATCGAGTCCCTCTGGGTGCTGACCAGACCCATCGAGTCCCTCTGGGTGCTGACCAGACCCATCGAGTTCCTCTGGGTGCTGACCAGACCCATCGAGTCCCTCTGGGTGCTGACCAGACCCATCGAGTCCCCCTGGGTGCTGACCAGACCCATCGAGTCCCTCTGGGTGCTGACCAGACCCATCGAGTCCCTCTGGGTGCTGACCAGACCCATCGAGTCCCTCTGGGTGCTGACCAGAGCCATCGAGGCCCCTCTGGGTGCTGACCAGACCCATCGAGGCCCTCTGGGTGCTGAACAGACCCATCGAGTCCCCTCTGGGTGCTGACCAGACCCATCGAGGCCCCTCTGGGTGCTGACCAGACCCATCGAGGCCCCTCTGGGTGCTGACCAGACCTATCGAGTCCCTCTGGGTGCTGACCAGAGCCATCGAGGCCCCTCTGGGTGCTGAACAGACCCATCGAGGCCCCTCTGGGTGCTGACCAGACCCATCGAGGCCCCTCTGGGTGCTGACCAGACCCATCGAGTCCCTCTGGGTGCTGACCAGACCCATCGAGGCCCCTCTGGGTGCTGAACAGACCCATCGAGGCCCCTCTGGGTGCTGACCAGACCCATCGAGTCCCTCTGGGTGCTGACCAGACCCATCGAGGCCCCTCTGGGTGCTGACCAGACCTATCGAGTCCCTCTGGGTGCTGACCAGACCCATCTAGTCCCTCTGAGTCACACATTCCATAAGCCACTTAAGACGGAGTGCTAATCCTTACTGTAAAGGGGAATATCGAGTCATGCTGCCTCTTCCACACATCTCCTGGAAGGTCTTGTGCCGCGAGATTAATAATGCTTTATCTAATAAGTAGTCCCAGCAAGCAGGGACGCAGCCTGCGGTGGAGCAGGCTTGAAGTCCTTATCACCTGGCGTCCCCCGGCCAATGGCGTGGCCTTATGAGGAGGTCGACCTTGTAGTGTCTGACCAAAACCCCAAAGACTCCGTGGCCAAATACGGCAGCTGAGCGCCTGGCGTTTGGTACCTGAGAGTTTTTCTTGCCCATAAGGAGTGCGGGCGATGAGGTGACTGGCTGATTATCGCCAGTGTTTCGCCAGAACTTTTAGCTGAGTTTGTGTTATCGTCTGGTGGCTCTTGGGCGCGCGCGCGCAGCTGCGTCTCCGCGCCCGGACTGACGCACTACTCCGTGGTCTGGGCGCTAATGTTCGGGTAATTGACTCGAATGAGAGATAATTGCACCCGAAAGTGAAACACGGAACGAGGAGCCATGTGCAAAAAGCTTTTTTTTTTTATTAATTTTTGTTTTTAAAGTATGAAACTCTATTTGTTTTTTTTTCTTTGTTAGGCTAAACTGGTAAATGAAATGACATATTCGGTTAACGATTCGCCGGAGCGGGTTTTTATATACTGTGGCTTATAACAGCCGGAACAATGCATATAATGCTACCTTAGTAGGCGTGATATTAATCAAATTTAGCGTGACCGTCGGCGGTGATTCATATATACACTCAGCCACGCTAGCCCAAGCGCGCGCGCGCTCACGCTACTAAATGTACTTAGTTTTTACGATAGAGCCACAGAGATACTACGGGAAAGAGGCGGCTGGGTTGGCTGTGTCTATCTGGAACTAAAAGTGACTTTTGACAGAGTCCCACACATGAGGTTGTTCTGAAAAACTGCAACATGCTGGAGAGGTGCCGACAAAACATTAGAATGTTTTCTTTGGCAAACAGAGTGGTAGACGGTTGGAACAAGTCAGAAGGTGGTGGAGGCCAAAACCGTCAGTAGCTGCAAAGCGTCACATGACCATAAATGCCGGGAAGACGAAAAACAGGAGAGAGAGTGGAGGAAATACTGAGGAGAAAAAGAGAACCAGAACCAGATGCAACAGAGATAGAACCGAACACATCAACATAATAAGAGCATCAGAAAAACAAAACAAAAATTATATTTCAGCCATAACAAAGAAACAATGTGAGTTACTGCACATGAAGGGAACTGAAAGTTAGCGAGCGAGTAAGTAGACAAGACGGGAGCAGATCATTCAGAAATTGACATGATAATTTACGAGGAGGTAAATGCCAGTATCCATGGAGTGTTCACCACTCACCCGGAACCCCTTCCCACCGCTAGGAGGCGAGGAGGTAATTACACACACAAATCACAATAGCAAGATGTATCAAATAAACAAATCCACAAGGGCCGTCACGAGGATTCGAACCTACGTCCGAGAGCATCGATTAAGGCAGCGTCTGGGATGCTCTCGGACGTAGGTTCGAATCCTCGTCACGGCCCTTGTGGATTTGTTCATGAGGAGGTAATCCTAGACGAGCAACCCACGAATATTGAGGTTCCATCAGAGGTTAGGAGACAACTGACATCATTAGAATCAAATTCATTGGCACCATATATCAGATAAACATAGCAGCATCGATCCTCAGTTTACCTGAACTTCTGATTTGTAATGATTCAAGTACCACGGGACCTTTTCCAGCTGCTGGAAGATGAGAAGTGTAGTACCAGTAAGGAGGAGAGGGAACAGTGAGGAGGTTCTCATGACTATACACCAATGTCAATAACGAACATCCGTGCATAGTACACGAAACAATAATAAGTTTAACATTAGTTAAACACCTACAGAGGATTAAATGTGAATGGAAACAGTAAACTTCAGAAAACGGAAATCATGTCTAAAAAAAACTACCGTTCTCTGTGATGCAGTAATGGCCATAACTCTCACAAGTCAAGCCTGGCCTCGGGCCGGGCTTGGGGAGTAGAAGAACTCCCAGAACCCCACCAACCAGGTATCAACCAGGTATAAGTCACAAGAAATGGGCAGATTGCGCATTTCTCGACTCTTCCCCACCCCTTCAAAAAACAAATATTTCTGACACAATCCCGCACATGAGACTGTCACAGAAGCTTGGGAAGCAGGCGAGAGTATAACTGCAGGAACACACAGGTGACAGCATACTTAACACATACTTAACACATACCATAAATATAGTCACAGTGAGGAGAGAGAAGTCAGACAGGTCAAGGGAAACAAACATTTAGGATCGGTGCAGAGACCCATGTTAGTTTTCATACATGTTAATAACCTATCACAGTTAATGACCTATCTACAGTTAATAACCTATCACAGTTAGTGACCTATCTACAGTTATTGACCTATCTACAGTCGTACATGAAGATGTTTGCAAACTTTGAAAACAAAATAATATGGGGTCGAGACAGACAAAGCTTTGAAATCGCTCCAAGATGTCTAACACAAGCTGCAGAATTGGTCTGAAAAATGACTATACTGCATTTCAAGACGAACATGTTTACTCACCTAGTTGTGCTTGCGGGGGTTGAGCTTCGGCTTTCTGATCCCACCTCTCAACTGTCAATCAATCGATGTACAGATTCCTGGCCTGTATAATGAGGGAAATGGAAGCAGTTGAAAGGAGACCAGGAGGACCGTAAACAGTTAAGGAAAACAGCATTACAAAGTTGATGGAGTTTTTTTTTTAGCCATTTAGAGATACATTTAAGCTCATGCTGCACGAATGACAGACCAGCTTATTACAAATGAGAAAATGTGGGAAATGCTGGCCCTGGTTCAATTGATAAGATCAAATATAAATGACATGAGATTATGGAACAAGCAGTGTAGTGTGAAGACTAATAATAATAATAAATAGCAGCCATTTTATGGTTCTGAAATATTCCCGTATCTAAAATGGTTTTTATCTGAGCAAAAGATTAACCTTAAAAGAAAATAGGTTGTGATTTTTTGTGTGTGAGGTCACACACACACACACACACCACACACACACACCACACACACACACACACACACACACACACACACACACACACACACACACACACACACACACACACTGACTGTGATGGAGGCTGACTCCATATACAGTTTCAAGCATAGATATGATAGAGCCCAGTAGGCTCAGGGACCTGTACACCAGCTGATTGACAGTTGAGAGGCGGGACCAAAGAGCCAGAGCTCAACTTCCGCAAGCACAACTATGTAAACACACACACACACACACACACACACACACACACACACACACACTGACTGTGATGGAGGCTGACTCCATATACAGTTTCAAGCATAGATATGATAGAGCCCAGTAGGCTCAGGGACCTGTACACCAGCTGATTGACAGTTGAGAGGCGGGACCAAAGAGCCAGAGCTCAACCTCCGCAAGCACAACTATGTAAACACACACACACACACACCAACAAGAGGACAGGGGCAGCAAGGCGGGAAATGTGACTAAAGGCTTGTAACGGCCACACTCTTCGGGGTGGAACTAGTCTCAGACCCGCTGTAAGGAACGGGACCTGCCACAATGACAGATACCCGAGGGAGCGCTCCTCCTGGCGGTGGTGCTGGTGCTGACACATGTCCTGGGCGAGGCTTCTTGACGTGGCCAAGCTGATGGGCGAGGCTTCCTGATGTGGCCAAGCTGATGGTGAGGCTTCCTGATGTGGCCAAGCTGATGGCGAGGCTTCCTGATGTGGCCAAGCTGATGGGTGAGGCTTACTGACGTGGCCAAGCTGATGGGCGAGGCTTCCTGATGTGGCCAAGCTGATGGTGAGGCTTCCTGATGTGGCCAAGCTGATGGCGAGGCTTCCTGATGTGGCCAAGCTGATGGGTGAGGCTTACTGACGTGGCCAAGCTGATGGGCGAGGCTTACTGACGTGGCCAAGCTGATGGCGAGGCTTCCTGATGTGGCCAAGCTGATGGCGAGGCTTCCTGATGTGGCCAAGCTGATGGGTGAGGCTTACTGACGTGGCCAAGCTGATGGGCGAGGCTTCCTGATGTGGCCAAGCTGATGGTGAGGCTTCCTGACGTGGCCAAGCTGATGGCGAGGCTTCCTGACGTGGTCAAGCTGATGGCGAGGCGTCCTGATGTGGCCAAGCTGACGGCGAGGCTTCCTGACGTGGTCAAGCTGATGGCGAGGCTTCCTGATGTGGCCAAGCTGATGGCGAGGCTTCCTGATGTGGCCAAGCTGACGGCGAGGCTTCCTGACGTGGCCAAGCTGATGGCGAGGCTTCCTGATGTGGCCAAGCTGATGGCGAGACTTCCTGATGTGGCCAAGCTGATGGCGAGGCTTCCTGATGTGGCCAAGCTGATGGGCGAGGCTTCCTGATGTGGCCAAGCTGATGGGCGAGGCTTCCTGACGTGGCCAAGCTGATGAGAGGCTTCCTAACGTGGCCAAGCTGACGACGAGGCTTCCTGACGTGGCCAAGCTGACGACGAGGCTTCCTGACGTGGCCAAGCTGACGACGAGGCCAAGCTGACGACGAGGCTTCCTGACGTGGCCAAGCTGATGGGTGAGGCTTCTTGACGTGGTCAAGCTGATGGGTGAGGCTTCTTGACGTGGTCAAGCTGATGGGTGAGGCTTCTTGACGTGGTCAAGCTGATGGGTGAGGCTTCTTGACGTGGCCAAGCTGATGGGTGAGGCTTCTTGACGTGGTCAAGCTGATGGGTGAGGCTTCTTGACGTGGTCAAGCTGATGGGTGAGGCTTCTTGAC